GTCACCGATATCTCGCATTTTTTACAATTCAATAATTAGTAAAAAGAAATGAAAATAGTAAAAGAAAAATTTAAATAAATTTGGTATTATATTAATAATGTAAGGTACTGATTTAAAATTTTACTGATGAAAATTAACTGATTATACCTTTGATAATTACAGGTTTAATATGTCTGACTATATATGGCTTTTTCTACTGTGGCAGTCAATGTGTTAATTCTTCGTTACCTAATTTTTTTTTAAATTTTAATCTTAGAGATATATTTGAAGGAAAATTGTATAATACTGGATTCATAAAATTTTTTTTTCAAATTTATAATTAATTTACATTATTTAAAAAATTGTGTACCTTGTTATTGGGAAGTTATTAAAATTTTGATTTTAGAAATACCTTTGAAGAAAAATGATATAACACTGAATTTTTAAAATTTACCAATATTTCTAATTAATTTATTTTAAAATTTTAGCATCTTACTATGGTGAAGTTATTAAAATTTCTATCATAGAAATATATTTGAAGCAAAGTAATATAATACTGAATTTCTGAAATTTACCAAAATTTCTAATTAATTTATGACATTATTTAAAAACTTTAGCACCTTGTTATGGTAAAGTTATTAAAATTTTTATCTTAGAAGTATATTTGAAGCAAAGCAATATAATACTGAATTTCTAAAATTCTCCAAAATTTCTAATTAATTTAAGTCATTATTTAAAAACTTTAGCACTTTGTTATGGTGAAGTTATTAGAATTTGTATCTTAGAAATACATTTAAAGAAAAATGATATAACACTGAATTTCTAAAATTTACCAATATTTCTAATTAATTTATTTAGAAATTTTAGCACCTTATTATGATGAAGTTATTAAAATTCATAGTAAATGAAATAGAGAATTTTCAGTGAATGAAAAGCACATCCCCTGGAATCAAAATTTTCCTTTCAGTTCGTATTGATAAAACGCCTCAAGGTTTTCGAATGGTACGAGCTATACTCGAAGCGATCAACAAACTCGAACGAAGCGAAAGAGGATGAAATAATCGGTTAGAAAGGAAGGTCGTGTAATTCCATCGTAACGACTCGTCTGCTTTACGTCGTCGAACCGATCGCACGTAACATACGGCCATCAGAATGCGTATCGAACTCGCAACCGGAAATCGTTAAAATCGCGCCAGCTGGCTAAATACGATGTTTTCCGCCTGCAATACCATTCTGAATTGTCAACGTTGCTTCCTTGCATCATTTCAATTCCTATCAGCAATAAATGATGCTGTATCAAATACTTGCAATAATATATCTTCGTAAATTATTAATAATTTATTTCAAAATTTTTTTAATTTAACCCTTAGTTGCCCTTAGGGCACTGTAGGGTATGAGACGACCCCAGATAATTCAGGTTTTTTCATGTTTGACTAAAATTCGTCCCTTAAAATGTTCAATCTCAAGAGTGTCCAGTTAAAATTTTAGCTTTTTATATGAAAATTTTAAAAAATTATGAATTTTTGTGTGAAAACTAATTTTTTCGATTTTTCTAGGTTTTTCAATTTTTCTTTTCATATTCAATATTTTATTTCACTAAAATTAGCTATGAAAAATGTTAAAATGATTTTCGAAGATTATCTAGGAATTTTTTCAAGTTAAAATAATGAATACCTTCTTCCTAGAAAATATTTTAGTGATTGAGGTCTTAAACGCCCCACCTATGTTATTCTGCTGAATTGCAAAGATTTTTTATTCAGATTATATAGTTTGGTTTAATTCCAAATGATTGAACTGTAGGAGTTATAACATGGAAAATTTAATATCTTTAATAATACGTCTGAAAACGAATGGTTCCTTCGTGATTTCACACTTCATTGTTTAATCTGGCACGTTTTCCTTCGGTGTTCTGTGATTTTTCACCTGTGACTTCTTATTTACAAGTGAATCCTGCGATTTATTGCATTGTTTGGCTAAGAAATTGTTTCTAAATTTAATCCACCATGATTTCGAATCGAGGTATTGGCACGATAGAAATATATTTCCTCGTTTGAAACAATAAATTTTCATTTCTCATGTAAAATTATTAATCACAGAACATTGTAGAAAAATTGTTATCCTATTTTTATATTAAAATAATAAAAAAATAAAAAATAATTAAGGAATGAAGTTCTGTCAAAATAATCATCAGCTTAATCAATTCAAGCGTTTAATTGTTATTTCTAGCTTCGTCTTTCCCAAACTATATTCATCAAACCATTTATATCCAAGCTTCCAAGAATCCTCCAAGTTTCCTCGCAGCAAACGTCGGGAGAAGAGACATTCCTTCTCCTTAATCCCCCGTCCCGTTATCCTTCTCAGCTTGTGTACCTTAAAAGACCCCGTCCCGTTCTCTGATAAGTGTCACGCTAATGCACGACACTTAACGAGAGCTAAGTTTTTGCTCGACAACGCGGACAACTTTTCGAATTGAGTTTCTCTCTCGTTTGTGGCATTAAAATGCATCCGTGTTCAAATGAACGTGATTACGGTCGCGAATATTTCGGGAAACCGTGGAATCTCGTTTCAAACAACGGCAAAACTTTCCCTACGGTGAATTGAAAAATAAAGAGAAGAAAACTCCTTCTGATTACCCGCTCGATACGTTTCTTCCTGAATAAAACGAGTACCGCTTATTATAATGACAATGTAGAATTTTTTTTTAATTAAAAAAGAATTTCTCTATTTTCTTGTATTACTGTGATAACTTTCTTTATTGGTAATAATAACAGAATTTTATTTTTCATTAAAACAAATAGAATTGATGTAAAAGTTTTCATTGAACATTTTTTAATGAACTTTGATCAAAATAATTAACCCTTTGATAGCGAAGGTTGGGTCGATCGTGACCCAAATTTATAAGATATTTATGAAGATATTAATCTAAAGTTAAATGTATAATTTTTAGAGGAAAGAGGTTCATATACTGGAAAAATTAAATTAAAATTGAGGCTTTCTCCGAGGGTTAAAAATATCAGAACTTCCCTATCACGATATTCACTAATAATTTTTAGAAGAACAGTTTAGAAGAAAATTTAGAAAATGGAAGACTCTCTTCATGATCCGCCGACCAAAGGATCAACACGTTCATTGACACAGTGAAAATATTCGTGTACAATCAGACACGTTATAATTGCAATTAGGAAGTAGAACTTCTATTGCCTAAAAATTTATAAATTGAAGATAATATGAAATAAAATATTAAATTAAAGTTCGAGCTCTCTCCATGGTCCGCTATAAGATACTGCTGCAGTAAATATGAATGTGACCATTAAAATTGAGATAGAATGATTTAAATTTCCAATATTAATTCAAAGTTCTTTCCATCTAATTTATAATAGATTATAAGACTCTCTTTTACGACTTAATAATCTTCATCTTTTGTTCATTTCCTTTTTACCTCCATTCTGCTCTCAGAATCATCTTTTTCGAGCTCATTCTTTTCTCCCTTCTGTCCCTCTGTTTGCATCTTTGTGTCCTAGTGTCTCCTTTCAAATCTCTCACTGTTAATCCCTCTTCATTCATCCTCCCTCTCTTAATCCATGCGTTTCTTTCAGCTCCCCTTTTCTAGGATTCCGCAGCTTAATCTCTTTAGTCTCTGACCCTCTTTTCTCTGGATTCAACTTCCCCTCCATAGGTGAAGAACACTTCTTCTTTTAATTCTTCCCTATTTAAATCACTCCTCTTCGGTGCCTCCCTTCCTTACGTCTTTTGATTCACCCTCCTGTAAACTACCCTCAGGATTTTATTAATTTTTATCCATCATCCTCGAGAAAGTCTATTTTCTTCAGGCAATTTGTTTTTACCAGTCTCCTCTATCCTTTCAACCCTTCTTCGCTATTCCCTTTTCTCTCCACCTTTCTTCGTCCCTCTTTCCCATTAACCTTTCTCCTCTTCCAGAAGCAACGTTCCCCGTCAATCTCTCTGTGACAGGCCGAAAAAGCAGCGTATCCCACAAACGAACGACGATATGCACCTGTGCTTTCATCCTCCTCCCTTATTCCCCCCACCTCTACTTTCTCTCCCTCTGTTCCTCTCTCTCCAGGCCACGCGTTCCTCTTTGATGTCACTTCTCAGACTCTGTGTACCGTGCACGGTAAAAAGAGACGAGCAGAAACGCTGTTCAAAGCATAGATTTACGTTCCACCGCCGCTTTCCAGCGTGAATGTTTTCCTATTCCATGTACATCAGCCGGGCAACCGTGCAGCTGCATCGTCGTGGCGGGGGTGCGCGACACGTTACGCGAGGGGTGAATCGGCCCGCTGGCGAACGCTTTAATCGACCGTCCCCCGAGGGGGGAGGGGGAACGCTTCAAAACCAAGACGAACCCGCGTACGACCCGGATTTTCCACCCACGAATTTTTGAGACTATGCACCACCGCAAACGCTGATGCTCGTTTCTCCTCGCGTTTACAGAGAACCCACGTCCTTACCAGGGAAATTTCAATTTCGGTCGCTACCCTTTGAGCTCTTATTTGGTAACCTCGGTTTGCTGCTTACTTTACTGTCGCTACGAGTTCGCTGAAATTTTCAAACCCCTGACTTCAATATCCTTGATTTCTGGGATTTTTGAGATTTTATTGCTGTGCTAAGACTGGTTTTTAGATGATCATTAATTACTGATTTTTAAATGAGATATAGCAAAATTTTAATTCGATTAATTTTGAGATAATTTATTTTTAAAATAATTGATCGTGCATTAATATCTAGGATTTTAGAGATTTTAGGAGAGTTTATTGCTATGCTGAGACTGGTTTTTAAATAATTATTATTTACTACTTTTTAAAGGAGATATTGCAAAATTTTCATTTGATGTAATATTGAAATAAGTTATTTTAAAAATAATTAATCGTGCATTAATTTCTCGGGGTTTTAGAGATTTTAAGGGTGTTGAGATATTGCAAAATTTTCACTTGATGTAATTTCGAGATAATTTATTTTGAAAATAATTGATATTGATCTATTTCTTTTTGTTTCAGGAGAAGGAGCATCAAAGAAATTTGAAAATTACTTATGGAATTCAAACCATAATTTCGGTTCCTAAAGAAATGAAAAATTCGAGGACATTTTTTTGAAATAGAAGAAAATAACAATAATTTATGAAGATCCATCGATAGAGTAGAAAAATTTAATTAAAAGACACTTCTCATTGAGAGGAGAGCGGAGAAATTCACAGAAATTCAGTGAAAATGTCCGAGATACCATGGAAAAACACCTTGGACGCGTGATGGGATGGCCAGGAACGTGAAAAAATTCGTCGGCGATAAATTCGGATCACTGGTGCGAATAAATCCAGAGAAATCGAAGGGAGAGGTAGACCGGAAGCGGGCTAGCCCGCGGCGGAAGATCGCGGATAAATTGAAAGAAATACAGAAGGACAACGGTGGACAGGAAAGGGTGGGAGAGAAAACGCTTGAAAACGCTGATAAACGGTTGAATAATGGCCACGCAAATTGCGTCGGTGGAGAACCGTGTGATAAATGAACGACCGATGGAAATTCCTTCGGGTGCAACGTGGATGCACCAGGCCCGGTTGCACAACTCGTTGTCGCTTTCATTCAAACAATTCTCCTGGCTTCGGATATCTTATGAAATCATTCAGCTATTCTGAATCTGATTCAGAGCTGTTCTAGGAAATTTCATTTGGAACTTGTGGTGAGTTTGAAAAATTAAAAAATGGAACAATCGTGACCCATATCTATTAATTAAAGAATTAAATGCAAGAACTAGGCAGTTCCATTTTTATTAATTTCACAGGAATTGAAGAAAACTGTTTAAATATTCTTTTCTTAAATATATAATTAAATTTCAATTTCTATAAAATTGGAGCTGCCTCGTTTTTGCATCAAATTCACCAATTAGATTGTATAAAATCCTTTGATTTAAATTTTTATATATTGAGAAAGAAATAATTAAGAATAATTCTTTTTTAATGTGATTTCAATCTTTTCTCTTTTTAGAGTTAAACCAATTTGGAGGAACTTTGGAATACAAAGTTTGTGAAGAAGAAAAAAGGAAATTTGGAAAAGTATCAAATAAAAAAGGAGCAGAGCCACAGACATATTTTCTTCTTATAAATGAAATTTAAAGTTTAGGTAAGTGTTAATAGTTAAATTTTAAGAAACAAGGGGATATACTAATAATAATAATACTTTTAGGATAAACAGAGCTGTAAGACCCATAGAAGGGAAAGAAGTTTGTGAAGAAAGTTGGAAAAGCTGGAAAATTGCAGAAAATTTTAATAGAAGATAATCTGAAGAAATATAAGAAACAAAGGAAGCAGCATTCAGTACTTTTCATAGGGAACAAAGTTTTATATATAAATTTATAAAAGAAAAATTAAATTGACAGACATTTTGAAAAAGGGAATTTTGAAAAATATAAAATTAAAAATTCAGCAACTACAGGTGTGAAATTGAAAACTGGATACTAACAGAATTATCAGAACGGATGCTGAGGAAAAGATTGCATGAAAAGCTTGCAAAAGAGAAGGAAAGTTGCAGAGGGAGGTAAGAAAAATTTAGAGAGTTGGAGGGAAAAAGGAAACAATAGAAACAGTATAAAAGTTTAAGAAGGGAAGCGTAGAATCTGGGAAGGATCCAGAAGAAATTTAATTTAAAAAAATCCAACAGGAGAAAAATATCGTAGAGAAGGTTGTAACAAGAGAAAAAAAGGAAAGGTAGAACCAGTGGAAACTTCGGAAGCACTTTAAGAAGGAAAGCAAAAAGCTAAAGAGGAATCGGTGCAAAATCCAAGGAAGGAAAGAGACGCGACAGTGATTTACAAAGTCTCCGAGAAACCATTAAAGAAGAAGTAACAATTCGAAAATCCGAAGAAAATCGAAGAACAAAACTCTAATTGCAAAATAAAAGATAAGAAATATATCTCAGATCGATAAAGCAGAGATTTAAGAAAAAAAAAGTGTAGAAAATTATTAAATGTTTCACTAATTAAATAATCAATCGTTATTAATTAATAGTACAAATCTCATAAAATAAATTAATTAATAAATCTAGATTAAAAAATTTCCAAAAGCAATTTAGTTTCCTAGTACAATTTTGTTAGTGTTCAATTTAAGAAGTTCGTGAACTGCAAGAACAGTGAATTTTAATTGAAACTTCTAATTATGTCAGAAATTTGCGATCGCTACTTTCGAACATTGTAATATACTCAAGTGTGTTTTTGTGATCGCGGTGAGATTGTAAATTAATAAAAATGATGGCGGGAGCTGGAATGTTGAGAACCAGACGCAGGGACGTGAGTGTGAAACCGAATAGGAAACTCGACCGGAAGTCGTCGAGGGGGATGATCTACGAGAACGAGGAGCTCAGGTTGAGGACAATTAATATCAACGCTGAAGTGGAACAAGGTAAATATCCTTTTCTCAAACAGGAATCATATCAAAAGCTGTAGAAACATTTTCTGAAATTTTCCATTATTTTAGAAAATCTTTTCTGTTACTTTAATTCAATCAATAACCACAATATTTTTATTAAAAATTTAAAAAATGAACAATATATAATCTATTAAAAAGGCTATATAAAATGCCTGCAAAGAGTGTAAAAAATATTCCAAATGGTACAACTATCCATATAGCCATTCTGGAGAAATTAAAGTATATTAGTAACTAGGGACTTTCCTCGGAGGAACGTGGCGAGCCTGCACGCTGCCAGTAATTCCCCGCTAGAAATAGACACCGGTGTTCACTAGGTTCGTGCGTCGAATCCGCTGCAAACTATTTTGGAAACTTGGCCAAACTTTCTGTTCGACCGGCATCTGTCGAGGTTCCAGAGGTTCCATAACTTTTCCAACTTCTTTCCTCGATACCTAGTGCTAATCGCGTACGATTTAACGGGAAAAAAATCCCTAGTTTAATTCGGTGCGGTACCCATTAAAAAAAGATTGTGATAATAAAATTTCGAGAAGGATGAAGCAGTGAACCGTTTTAAAATAGTGCAGACTGAATGAAAAGCGGTGAATTTATAAAAATCTCTAGAAATTAATTTGGAGACTTTAATTATGGTAAGTGTATCGATATTATTTGGAGCAAAGAATAGATCGATGAGTAGAGTGTTCAAATTTAAATGGAATTTTAAAATGATTTATGAAACTGTAGGATAAATGTTCAGTTGTTGAGGGGAGTACATTTTATGAATTGTGTACACACTTTTGATTGATATATGTGTGTAGAGGGAATGATTATGTAAGCAATATTAGCGGCGATTTTTGTACGAGTGGGCCAGATATTTGGAAGCGTAGAAATGATGGTTTAGATAGCGTCTACGGTGTATGAAATATATTCTTTTATAAATAGAGAACGCTCGTGAGATGCTAATAATAAGAACAGAATTTTCTGGACGGTTGTGAGTTAAAAATTATATCAAATCGAGGGTGCAGATTCGAGTTAGCTATGAATCATATCGCAATTTATATTTAAGTTATTAAAAAAAAAAATTGCAAAATAAATAAGAAGGCTTAGAAACTTAACAAATAATTATCAGAATATTTAGACTGATTAAGTTGAACAAAATTAATTTTAATTTTATAATTTTTTCAAAATTCTGAAATGTAAAAAATCGTGATCTGATTCAAAATATTGTTAGGTCTACGAATTTCTAGAAAAGTATAAGACAATATATGAATGAGGAAACTCGAAAGGTCAACAATTTTCAGAAAATCTGTTTACCTGTCGTGCCAAGAAAAGCTTTGTTTTGGCAACAGTTCCCGCCTACGGATCATTTGTTCTCCAAAAAGCTCTAGAATACCCAGATGTCGTTTCTATACGGTATCTCAAAGAGCTCGTGGAAATGTGTTCCGAAAATGAAAACAAATTTCATCGCCAATTGAAATGTTGACTTTCCAGAAATTGATGTATTATGGTAGAAGAAACAATTTAAAGCGGTTGCTCCGGATAGTCATTGTTCTTGGTTGCATCATTTAACCCTTGAACAGCGGAGCCTGGGTCAATCGTGACCCCAAAACTTACAAAATATATGCAAGAATATTAACTTAAAATTGAATCGAAAAAGTTTCATATTACGGAACAGTGTAAAATTTAGAAAATAAAATTAAGGCTTTCTCCATGGTCCGCCGTCGAAGGGTTAATTATAGCTTATAAAATTTGCAATTTCAAATCTTCCATGTTTTATTAATAAAATAATAATATTTAATAATAATTCAATGTTAAATTAAAATTTTATGAGGTATAAGAATTAAGGTTCATAAATTTTTGAATAAATTTGAAATATTTCCATCGCTTTATACTAAAACTATAAAGCATATTTGACGCTATCTCTACTAAATAATTTCCAAGCTATTATTTATCACCGTGTTTTCTACCTCAAAATTTGAATTATTCACCGAGACATAAATATTCCAGTGCACTCTTAACATCTGGTTACTTTCAATAACAATTAATCAACCTTAAAAATCAATGAAGTAGATTTAGAGTATAGACTTTGTTGCAATTTGCTTTCTCGTTGATCAGAAATTATTATCAGTACAATATATTATCATTTAGGCGCATCAGTAGGCCTTGATTATTACATAAATCATTAAACCCCAGGCAATGCTATTAAAACGGCTTAAGAATCTAAATAAACGAAAGCCCAGTTGCAAAAACACCTAATTCACTAACATAAATGTTTCTTATAATTTCTCTACGAATTTTACGTCAGATTTTCAGCTCCTGATAGCTGTGATTCTTTGAATCTTTGTTTCGAAGAATCACCCTCAATGTCAGGGATCAATGTTAAAATATTCTTTATTTCTTCGTCGATACCAGGGATATTTTTGGAGTTTGCATAATTTCATTCTATCAATCGAAAGTTTCCTCGATTGAAAAATAAGCAATTACCTATGACGGTAACAGCATTGAAAATGTAAAAAATTGGCATTTCCCGCTGAAAAATTTAGAACAATATACACCTTTCCTTGTTCGTTCGGATATTTCTCATGATCAAATCAGGCTTTCATTAGGAAAACAGTGAATTAGGGGAGGCAGGGATCAACAAATCTTAAAATTAACTACCCATTTTCTGAATCCCTCGAAGTAAAAATAAATTGAAAATGAAATTCCTTCAGAGAGGAAAATTCTCTGAAGAACGTTTAATTTCGAGGGAGCGTCGATTTGAAAATGTTGCTGGCAAGTCTGGAGCCTCTTGTTCAAGCTATTTCTACCTGTATCGATCCCTCGATTTCGATGGGGCCTGTTTTCACGACGTCACACGAAATCCAGACGCCCCGTGCGTCATGCTGGCTTATTTTCAGGCGCTTTTCAAGACGCTTGACAGATTACACCGAACCGCGACGAAGACACGCGTTTCTAATCAACGGATTTGTCAGCGATCGCCGAACAACATCATTCTTCATTCCTTCCGTATGCTTTCTGACACGTGTGAAAACATCGCTGTTTTCTCGGTTTTCTTTATGAAACTCGAAACTTGGGGCACTTTCAAGTGAATGAAATGAAAATTATTAGGGTACCTTTCGAAACAGAAGACGAATATTAGTATTAAATATCAGAAGAAAATAATTATTGAAAGTTTGAAAAATGAAGAAAATAGAAAAATATGCGACCTTAAACAATTAAATTAAATTAAATTAAATTAAAGAGAAGATTTGAGGAATATAAACTTGGGGTACTTTCAAGTGGATGAAATAAAAATTATTAGGCTACCTTTCGAAACAGAAGACGAATATTAGTATTAAATATCAGAAGAAAATAATTATTGAAAGTTTGAAAAATGAAGAAAATAGAAAAATATGCGACCTTAAACAATTAAATTAAATTAAATTAAATTAAATTAAAGAGAAGAATTCTGGAATATAAACTTGGGGCACTTTCAAGTGAATGAAATGAAAATTATTAGGCTACCGTTCGAAACAAAAGACGAATATTAGTATTAAATATCAGGGGATAACAATTATTGAAAGTTTGAAAAATGAAGAAAATAAAAAAATACAGAGAAGATTTGTGGAATATCCTGTAATAGTCTCTTTTTATGGAAAGATGACACACGAAGAAAATTCATGGAAAATAATGATTCATACAAAGTAGAGGAAATCTGTTTCCCTGGAAGAATTTCCTTGTATTCAAAAGAGTAAAAAATTGATGATAAATAAAACACAGAAAGTTTAAATACAGTTATGAAATAAAATTTTAAATAATATAATTAATATCATATTAATTATACAGAACAAGTGGAAAAGCTTGAATTGTAATTACAAGGTGTCTGACTACATATAGCCTTTTCTACTGTGCCAGTCAGCATATTGACCTTTATCACTTGAACGGCTAGTAAAGGTGCAAAACACACTTGATTTTAAATAATCATCTACCTTTTTATAATATAAATAATTATTCTAGGGTAATATATACAATTGTTGACTCTTTTCCTAAGAAAATAAAAAATATTGGACGGCGGACCAGGGAGAGACCCCCGAGACCTTATGGCGGACCAGGGAGAGAGCCACAATTCTAATCTAATTTTGTATTTTATATTACTTTCTTGTATATAAGGAACGTGTTATATTATATTTTCTACTTTTTTAAGGAAAAAGACGGTCAATAACTATATACGTTACCCTATGTCGTTAAAATTTGCATTTATAAAGATAATTAATATCCCTTAAATGAAACATTAATCAGTGGCCATAAAATTCAAAGTCAAAATAGAATATTGAATGAAACGAAGAAACAAAAAATGGAATATTGAGTCAAGCAAAGAAAGAAAATGGAATATCGAATCGAATTTAATATAGGACTGCAAAGAAAAGGGTTAAGAATCGAAAGCACCCCAGGACGAGCCTGGAAGCTGCGTAACACCATGGATCCTCCATCATCCATTTCCGTCGACACGTGACGAAAGAATCTCCCTCGAGGCTGATCCAACACGCCACGGAGCAGCTACTACAAAAGATTTAAATAGTAGCGCCCGTGAGCGAGAAAGAAACCGTTCCGAAAGGAGAGGGCTGCCAGGCTTTCGGCACCGATGTACCCAATCCGCGAACTAGTTTTCTCCGGCGACTCAAAACGGTCAGCATGCCGGCCTCTTTTCACGGAAACTCATATTTTTCCATAAGCATGGGACACCATGCTCGATCACTTAATTCTGGGATACGAAAAACCATCGACACTTTCAGTACCAGCTGATCGATCTTAAACGTTTCGGTGTCAGTGAGATACTTTTGTGCATAAAAATTAAGTGCATCAAAGAAAATAAAAAATAAAAAAAAGGGTGAAAATTGAAGAGATTAAATTTGATGAAGAATTTGTGATTTAAAGAGGAATAAATTTATCCTCAATTGGAGGGTAAAATGAAATCAGTGTTGATAATTAACAATTTCTTAATTTTTTAATTGTATTTG